ACAAAAGGAAAGCGTGCGATATAAGTTTTTTTTTCGGTTCCTACGGACGCAAATCTGGCGAAAAAGTGGAAGCAGTTCTGCCTGCGAGGAGGGTTAAACACCAAATCGAGCTATGTGTGCATGAAGCACTTTACTAGTGAAGATATTGAAAATAATATTTTTAGTGCTGGTATGAGGTAATGCACCAGTGGATAAGGTCGCCAGGCGCTAATTTAAACGGCATCTTACCGCGCTGTTACGTACCGAATACAAAACAGTGCCCAAATTATTATACATTCAAAAGTTCAGCTTAAATTATGTTTTACTTACATACAATATTTGTTTCCAAAGAAGCCAAACTCATGCACCCTCTCGGAAATGGTACAAAAGTCATCAAATAAAAGCTGTGGAGTCAACAGCGTGGAGTTTAGGGTGGTTGGCTACTGCCCACAAATATAAATATGCACTCTGCATGGCTTTTTACAATGGCGAGTCCAAAAATTCACTTTGTGGCACACCTTCCTCTTGGTATACAGGAAATTGCAAACATTGTTAATACATCAATTTTTTCATATGCTAAAAATCGTACTTACCTAAAGGGATACATGTCCAAAATTATTGCTACGTATTCCTAATTAATCAATCTTTGTATATTTATTGATTCCTGCAAAATTGGGCCATGTAATATTAAAATTAACACATTGTTCTGCATTGTTTACATATTTTTATATGCGTTCTGGCATTTCTCTCACGCAATTGCACTACGATGACGTCACGCAAAAATTACGCTCAAAAATCCTCTCTCTATGGCGCAATATTGTATTCTATCATTCTTGTATGTGGACTGTATTGTCCGCTGAACAACAGCGACTCTCTTAGCTATTATGCGAATAGTTGCAGTAAATGCAACTTGTAAAAATGCTTATATGTTACGTATGTACATATGGTATATGGGGAAAAAATGCACTTATGTTTTCGGCACTTTGTTTAGCCAAGTTCAACGAACTATGCGACCAACGGCAACAATTTGTAAGCAGAGGAAAGTATATGATTTTAATGTGCTAATATTTTGTTCTTGCACAGTGTGACACAGTAGGCATATAAACTGCAACGGAATTAATTTGGGGTATATATCAGAGTTTGAATATATGTACATATACTTATATATATATAAGATTGGCGGTATGTGGAGATATACCACTTTCCGGAAAACGGAATTTTTCTACAAAAATTTTAATAGCGGCAAATTGCCGTTTTTGGCGAGAATAAATGCGCCTTTTATGAAATTATATATATGTATATGTATGTATATATTCGTTGGCAGTTTATATTTAATAATAACTTTTGAGAAAATGAGTTATATTATTTTAGTTTTTAAGAAATTTAAAATTTGCCTACTCACTACTTTTCTTTATGTTATGTGTATATGTAAGTACGCTCCTTGCTTTGCCTGTTACGGCTGATGCTATTGTTGGCTGCTGATGTTGCTGCTGATGATGGCTGCTTGGCTGATGTGTGTAGCTCGATTCCCTCCTATTCTTGCGTCTGGTGTTGTTGTTGCCGCTGATGCTGATGATGGTGATGGCTTGGTTGGGTGATGGCTGCTGATTGCGCTTTGTTGCTGTGCTTGTTGCAACTTAATTTGCCAGAAATGTATGCATGTGCACAAAGATATTGGTACAGAGAATTTTTTCCACAGGATTATTTATTTATTTATTTAAAGTTTTTTTTTTATGAATATTTTTCGCATTCAAATTATATCAAATTTGCTTCGTGCAAAACAGTTGCAGGTATTTTTATTAATTAATTATTTTTATTTTTACTCTGAGTTAGCGATATGTAAGTATATGTGTATTGAATATGTAGCACTGCATGTATGCGTGCACTTTTGCTTTTTGAACACTTTGTATTTCGATGGCTGAGTGGGAGATCGACCTATCTGGGCAGCCAGTTCGAAAACGCAATATCTCAGAAAATTGTTGAACAACGCTCTATCTCAGAAAACTTTTTAAGAACGGCCTACTTCAGAATTTGATTGAAAAGCGCCCTATCCCGGAATTTAGTTGAGGAACGCCCTATCTCAGCTGCCGATTCAAAATCGCCCTATCTCAGCTTATCTTCAATGTATTTTCCTTTGAGATAGGGCATTTTTGAACCGACTTCTAAAATAGGGCGTTATTCAACCAAATTCTGAGATAGGATGTTTTTCAATAAAATTCCGAAATAGGGTGTTTTTCAATCAAATTCTGCGGTAGGGCGTTCTTGAAAAGTTTTCTGAGATAGGGCGTTTTTGAACTGGCTGCCGAGATAGGTCGATCTTCCACTCAGCCATCGATTTATTGATTTTTTCCACATTTTAATACATTTTACATTAGTTTAGCGGACGTACGAGTACGGATTTTTTTTAATTTCTTTTTTTTAAGTGTTTTTGTTTTTCTTTAGGAGCTGGGCCACGGTTGGCTGCGAAGGACCATGAATATTTCCAATGGTCGCCTTTCGCACTCACCTTGCACACACACTCTTTTTCCGATAAAAGGAAAGACTTTGTTTCAATTTTAAATGTATAAATTACAACTTTGTTTATTCTCAATTTATGTAGCTTAGTTCTTCATACCTTAAACTTCACGGTTAGGAGTACATGCATGTATGGGCATATACAATAAGGTTACTTATTAAAAATTAGCTTTTAGGTTTGACAAAATATGAAGTTCAAAAGGGGCACGTTAACCGCTGATAGTTGCTGAACTGTTTTCTGCGGATTTCGCACGATGATAGGGAGGTGGCCGTGCGCGCTCGGTACTCATATTTTCGGAGTGGTCGTCGGTCAACTGCCAAACTGCTGCGCCCAAGGATTGCGCGCACGGCCGTCGTATTGCGCTTTAAGTGGCGGCTTAAACATGGGAAAAATAAATTTTTTCGTAGAAATGGAAATATGTAATTCTTGAAAGTCAATATTTTTCGATTTCTTCAGGAGACTTTCCATAATAATACCCAATTGTCTATTTAACCATTTTTAATACTAAAGATTTTTTATTGGTCGCCCCATTACATTTTTCGGGGTTTTTGTGGGCTTTTGGCTGACCTATAAATTATATTTCCAATGAAAAAATGGTTAAATAAACAATTGGGTATGATTACTGGGAATCTCCTGCAGACAAACAGAGTTTTATGGTACAAAAATATATTTTTATTTTTAATTATTCTATACCATTTCTACGAAAAGCATTGAAACTGCGCTCACTTGTACAGACACTTGCTTACAAACAAATCGACAGTACCAAACTCAACGTCAAACGGAGCGACGTGTAAATCAATGTATGTATGCATTTTGTGTTTAATCCCTGCAGTAAAATTTAGAGACATTCTGCCAAAGCGCTAGTTTCGAGCTACATATTTCAGAACTATCTCTGAACTGGTGCAAAACGGCTGCAGAGCGGGACAGTTGAAACTTTCGGTGTATGTGTACAAATTCTCACTTCTCAATATGGAAGTAGCTCAGCGAGAAGACCTACGACCCAAGCATCGTTGGTCAAATCGGAGTTCAAATCGCGGTGGAGGCAGTTGTGAGTTGCGTGCCGCTTACAAAATTTTATTTTTCTTATAAAATATGCAATAAACATGGAATTTGTAAAAAAATATCCCAAAATCGAATCTTTAAAAACTTTTTGTTATAAAAAAACTGTCCAAAACGGAACCGGTTAAAAACTAGTTGCCCAGTAATGCACTGGGCAACAATTGCCACCGCCAATGACATCGCCGTGGAAAACTGGACAGTTGAAAGCATTGCTTGGGTATTGAGCTAGAGCTCTCCGCTAGTTTTGAGCTAGTCAGATTTTATGCAGGGATTATTAGTGGAATTCGCGCGTCTGTGTCCTGCGTAAGTGGAACTGGATGAGTATGTGGTTGTTGTCGCATGTGTGATTGATCTACCTCTAGCAACAACAAATCACACGCTCATGCAGTTACAATTACACCACATATAACGAATACACAGAAGAGCGAATTTCCCTATAGTTTTGAAATTTGTGTTTATGTATATTTTATGTTTTACATGTTTGTCAATAGTTACCCTGAGGGCGGTTACCGAAGCGTAACTAATATATATTGGAAACAAAACACTAAAATCTCGTGTTTAATTGATTGACCTCGAACCGGTAAAATAAATAAATGAATATACTTGATTTTGTTACACATATAGAGGCACTTTCTAAGGCTTTTCCGTGGATCAATAAAGTAAACTGCTGTTATTCTAATTATCTTTTACATTATTATATTAAACATCTACTAACCGAAAGCAATACTAATCCAACTATTTACCCAAACTAAAACTTGAAAATAATATACTTATTTGTCAATGTTATTGTGGCTTATTAAAATTTTATTTTTTTTAATTTTTTATTGAGCTTTGTACCACGATTGTTTATTAGGAAAAATTGAAAAAGCAACAAAGTCTAAGCGGTAGAAGTTATAGCACTATTTCGGAGATCACCACATCTCCTCATCAGACTTCTTTTCTAGACTTCAGCAGGGATCGAACCTGCGTAATCAATGTTCAAAGTCAGAAGCGTTAACCACTGAGCTATGTACATTCCGTAAACTCTTTTTGCTAATTCATTTTCCTACATAGTTTAGGAAGAGCCTGCCTGAAACTATACATAAAAGCAAATAAGCAAATGGATGTATAGAATTGACAACAACAACCACGCTGTCGAGTTTAAATAGCGGCAAATCAGCTGCACTTGATAGTAGTTGGTTGAATAAGGAAAATGAATTAGCAACAAGAGTTTACGGAATGTACATAGCTCAGTGGTTATCGTTTCTGACTTTGAACATTGATAACGCATGTTCGATCTCTGCTGAAGTCTAGAAAAAAGAAGTCTGATGAGGAGATGTGGTGATCTCCGAAATAGTGCTATAACTTCTACCGCTTAGACTTTGTTGCTTTTTCAATTTTTCCTAATAAACAATCGTGGTACAAAGCTCAATAAAAAATATTAAATAATATACTTAATTTTTTACAGAACATACATATTTACGTAGCTGGAAATGTCACCTCCAAATGTTTTGGTCACAGGAGGCGCTGGATATATTGGCTCTCATACTGTTTTGGAGATGCTAAATGCAGGTTATAACGCGATTTGTGTAGATAATTTGAGTAACGCTTACAGCTCTGGAGCCTCCAAACTTCCCGAATCTTTAAGTAGAGTACAAGAACTTACAGGAAAGAAATTAGTGTATTACTGTATTGATATTACTGAGAGGGATCAAGTTCGTGGCATTTTTCAGGAGGTAAGTTAAACTCAATGTTTATAAAAAAAAAATACTATACATGGTAAGTGAAGTAAGAGGAAATTTCAGATCTAAATTTAATTGACTTTCAAAGGAACATATATATGGACTTAGTTACGCTTAACGCCATTTTCCAAAGAATACATCCGAAAAATACGGATAATATTACAATAATGAGTCACAACAGCTAAGTAAATAAAACCATATACTTCGTTTATAACGCGTTGAAATCGAAAATTTGTTATTTTTATTCGATATTTCTTAAATAGTTAATTTGAGCGGTGAACCGAAAAGTAAGCGAACGAGAATTCAAATTTGTTATAATGATAATTAAAATTAAAAACGTGCTGTATAAAGAAAACCAGCCTTATTTTCATTCGCTACAAATTAGTGATGTGTTTATACTTGTTTTCTAACCGATGCGAGAAATAAAAAAGCGATTTGAAAACAAATTCGAGCCAATGCACTTTTGAATTTCTGAGCGTATTGAAAGTTGGTTTATGCTTCCATTTGGAATCACAGCGAACTAGGTCAAAGCGCTTAATGTATTGGTATAAACAAGCTATTTGTTTTCAAATCGGTTTTTTATTTCTCACATCAGTTAGAAAATATGTATAAACCATGTATGTAATACTTCTATATTGCTAAGACAATATGATCGCAATGAGTTTTCCGTTCGAAACCAAAGAGATACTACGTTTATACGCACAGATTAATCGACTTAATTGAAAGCGCATTGACACCGTACACATTTCGCTCTAGTGTTTATACTTACGGCTTTATATCGGCATCAAAGTAACCGTCTTCAAAAGCAAACAAAATAAGCTGTTTTTATTTGACATTTTATAAGTTAACATAATGAAAAGTGATAAAAATCTAGTTTTATTCGGCATTATAAAATCGTGGCAAAGAAAAAGAACGATTATTATTAATCAGCTTTTAAATACTGATGCGATTATTTGGAATTTGAGCGGAACAGCTGATCTCCAATTCGCTTTGAGTCAGAGCGGTGTTTATACACTCTTTCTAACTGTCTGGAGAAATAAACTACCGATTTGAAATGGAGTGTGAGCCAAAACACTTCGCTCTTTCAAAGCGAATTGAAATTCAGTTTATACATATGTTTTGAATCGCGGCGAAATGAATTAAAGCGACTTATGCATGCGTATAAACGTAGTAATAGTCTATTATTACGTTTAAACTGAATTTCAATTCGCTTTGAAAGAGCGAAGTGTTTTGGCTCACACTCCATTTCAAATCGGTAGTTTATTTCTCCAGACAGTTAGAAAGAGTGTATAAACCCCGCTCTCACTCAAAGCTAATTGGAGATCAGCTGTTCCGCTCAAATTCCAAATAATCGCATCAGTATTTAAAAGCTGATTAATAATAATCGCTCTTTTTCTTTGCCACGATTTTATAATGCCGAATAAAACTAGATTTTTATCACATTCCATTATGTTAACTTATAAAATGTCAAATGAAAACAGCTGATTTTATTTGCTTTTGAAGACGGTTACTTTGATGTCGATATAAAGCCGTAAGTATAAGCACTAGAGCGAAATATGTACGGTGTTAATGCGCTTTCAATTAAGTCGATTATTCTGTGCGTATAAACGTAGTATATGAAAGTTTTTGTGATTGTACAAGTATACGTGTACATTTGTAAATCGCTACATAGAGGCTGCATTTCTTTATTCATTCTGAATGTTTGGAATAAACTTTTTTGTTTATTTATTCTTTAGAACGTTCCTGATGATATGTTGACGTATATTTCAAACGCATTCTGTTTATTCCGGCTGTGAAATGGGATTATCCGGAATATATAAAGAAACGCAGCCAGAATGAATATGGCACATATCATAACAGGGCCGGTTCAGGAAATTCAACAAACAAACACAAATTTGACGGTCTTATGTTTCCTTCACGTTGAAATGTATATCGAGCCCTAGCCGCGAAAATGAAGTAAGACAACTTTTTTCAAAATTCAATTTTGATGCATAAATGCCTCTTAGAGCACCTGCATCAACAATTAATTAAAAAAAAAAAATATATATATATATACACATTATTTCGTTATTTGGAAATCTGAAAAATTGGAAGATAGATCTTTTCCTAACAAAGACAAAACTTATTTACCCATAAAGCGGTGTGTTATTTTGTATGTTGGCCGAATCCAATAAAGCATATTATTCGATTCCCTTCTATGCTGATTGAAGCCAATTGGAAATGCCAACTGATGCCAAGTCCTTCTCTAACTGGTATTTTTATCCTCTGCCACCACCAACGGCCACGCTTCTCATAGATTTACAAATTATTATTTTTTGTTAATTTTTCATAAGAGTTGTTTTTAGATAAAAATTTGTGAAACCGCTCCTGAATTTTGAAAAGTAAAATTGTCATTTGAGTACATTCTCTTATCGGATCTCTCTTTCTTTTTTCAATATTTCGGCACTCTGATGTTGTGGAATGTACTTTGAATGTACTAGCAATATAGAAGTATTACCTATATGGTATAAACACATCACATATTTGACGCGAAGTGAAAATAGGCCGGTTTCCTTTATACAGTCCGTTTTAAATTTGAATTATTTACCTTGTTTAGACCTACGAAAAACCCCATTAACAAAATACCGGTTTGATTCAACACATATTTCTTTCAAGCGTTTATACCGGTGTCATTTCAGCGCACTCACTGAAACCGTATTCAAAAGTAAACTAAACTTGTTATTTTTATTCGAATATTTCTTTATTAATTAACTTGCGCGGTGGACCGAAATGTAAGCGAACAAGAGTTTAAATTTGTTGTAATAATGATTCAAATTTAAAACGGGCTGTATAAAGAAAACCGGCCATTTTTCACTTCGCGTCAAATTAATGATGTGTTAAAACCTGTTTTCTAACCGATGTGAGAAATAAAAAAGCGATTTGAAAACAAATTCGAGTCAATACACTTTTGAATTTCTGAGCGTGTTGAATGTTGGTTTATGCCTCCGTTTTGAATCACAGTGAACTGGGTCAAAGCGCTTTATGTGTCGGTATAAACAAGGTAATTGTTACAATAAATTCGAATTATTTACCTTGTTTATACCTACGCAAGAACTGTAAAAATGTGATTTGACTCAACACACATTTCTTTCAAGGCATTTATACCTGTGTCGTTATAGCGCACTCGCTGAAACCGTATTCAAAAGTAAACAAAATTTGTTATTTTTATTCGATATTTCTTAAATAATTTATTTGCGCGGTGGACCGAAATGGAAGCGAACAAGAATTTAAATTTGTTATAATAATAATTCAAATTTAAAAGGTGATGTATAAAGAAAACCAGCCTTTTNCATTATTTCGTTATTTGGAAATCTGAAAAATTGGAAGATAGATCTTTTCCTAACAAAGACAAAACTTATTTACCCATAAAGCGGTGTGTTATTTTGTATGTTGGCCGAATCCAATAAAGCATATTATTCGATTCCCTTCTATGCTGATTGAAGCCAATTGGAAATGCCAACTGATGCCAAGTCCTTCTATAACTGGTATTTTTATCCTCTGCCACCACCAACGGCCGCAGCGCTTCTCATAGATTTACAAAAATTTTATTTTTTGTTAATTTTTCATAAGAGTTGTTTTTAAATGAAAATTTGTGAAACCTCTCCTGAATTTTGAAAAGTAAAATTGTGATTTTGAGTACATTCTCTTATCGGATCTCTCTTTCTTTTTTCAATATTTCGGCACTCTGATGTTGTGGAATGTACTTTGAATGTACTAGCAATATAGAAGTATTACCTATATGGTATAAACACATCACATATTTGACGCGAAGTGAAAATAGGCCGGTTTCCTTTATACAGTCCGTTTTAAATTTGAATTATTTACCTTGTTTAGACCTACGAAAAACCCCATTAACAAAATACCGGTTTGATTCAACACATATTTCTTTCAAGCGTTTATACCGGTGTCATTTCAGCGCACTCACTGAAACCGTATTCAAAAGTAAACTAAACTTGTTATTTTTATTCGAATATTTCTTTATTAATTAACTTGCGCGGTGGACCGAAATGTAAGCGAACAAGAGTTTAAATTTGTTGTAATAATGATTCAAATTTAAAACGGGCTGTATAAAGAAAACCGGCCATTTTTCACTTCGCGTCAAATTAATGATGTGTTAAAACCTGTTTTCTAACCGATGTGAGAAATAAAAAAGCGATTTGAAAACAAATTCGAGTCAATACACTTTTGAATTTCTGAGCGTGTTGAATGTTGGTTTATGCCTCCGTTTTGAATCACAGTGAACTGGGTCAAAGCGCTTTATGTGTCGGTATAAACAAGGTAATTGTTACAATAAATTCGAATTATTTACCTTGTTTATACCTACGCAAGAACTGTAAAAATGTGATTTGACTCAACACACATTTCTTTCAAGGCATTTATACCTGTGTCGTTATAGCGCACTCGCTGAAACCGTATTCAAAAGTAAACAAAATTTGTTATTTTTATTCGATATTTCTTAAATAATTTATTTGCGCGGTGGACCGAAATGGAAGCGAACAAGAATTTAAATTTGTTATAATAATAATTCAAATTTAAAAGGTGATGTATAAAGAAAACCAGCCTTTTTTCGTGTCAAATGAGTGATGTGTTTATACCTGTTTTCTAACCGATGTGAGAAATAAAAAAGCGATTTGAAAACAAATTCGAGTCAGTACACTTTTGAACTCCTGAGCGTATTGAAATATATGCTTCCGTTTTGAATCACAGCGAACTGGGTCAAAGCGCTTTATGTGTTGGTATAAACAAGGTAATTGTTTGCTTACATTTCTGTCAACCGCGTAAATTAATTATTAAAGAAATGTATAAAAATAGCAGATTTTCTTTACTTTTGAATACGGCTTCATCGAGTGCGCTATAAAGACAGAGGTATAAATACTTGAAAGAAATATATGTTGAATCAAATCGGTTTTTGTTAATACGGTTTTTGCGTAGGCATAAACAAGGTAATGGACATT